GTGACTCATTTAGTTGCAAATACCGACATAAAGCCTAGAACGTGTCAGAACATGCACTGAGTGTGTTACGGCTACACAGCTAATATTGACAGATCAATGTTAGTGTTCGTTTGCTCTCGTGGTTGAAATTTTACCTCAGAGTTACAATTTTACATCTGCATAAGCACTTGTTGACACAGGCACACATGCATACATCAAGAATGATGAAATGAAACTTGTTTTTTTTTTTTTTTCCTGTGTGGTGCTTTAACCTTCCCGTTTAAAGAAACATTCCTGAAAATTTATTTGGAGGCATTTCGTCCACACAAGGACGTCCGTTTTATTTCACTTTAGTTTTGCAAGTACTTAAAATTTCTTTTAAAAATGAGCTGAATGCAGTAGCGGCGCAGCATAAATGCTTGGAAAGACAGGGGTGTATTAAGAACATCTCTCCACAGTCACCTTTTATCATTTCTGCCATCTTGTGATATTTGTATTCATGAGCGAACGTACAAAGAAGGGAAAAAAAACAAAGAAAAATCTGCATGAGCTGAAAAGTGTCCTCACTTTTCAGAGGACACATTTTTTGCACCGTCACAAAAAGAACAACAGAAGCATGCTGAATTACTTATTCAAAGAGAACTGAATTATTTAAAGCTAAAAGTTTGAGGCTGAATTAAGGTTTGACGAAACCACGAGCGGGCGCAGGTATCGGGCTTTTTCAGTCTGGGAGTTTTAAATCAACCTCGTCGTGTTTTCAAATTGAAGCTCCTGCAGGTGTGAGGGCGGGGGGAGGAATCTGCTCTGAAAGGTGTGCAGGTTTTTCCATGCGGTAACCAGTAACTGGCCGTCATCTAACACACACACACACACACACAGCTGCTATTAATAGCAGCTGGTCTGCTTTCGTCACTCCTCGGCAGTGCAGCAGGAAGGAGCGGAGGGGGACAGATTAGAAAGGGTGGAGAGGAGGGAACGGGTAGAGGGGGGGGGATGAAAAAAAAGGAAGAAGGATATAGATGTAGAGTTGCCATGAGAGTTGGAGAGCAGAGAGGGAAAAGCTGCCGAGGCGAGCGATGACGCGCATCCCAGAAGTTCTTGACGTCACCGCGTGACGTCCGCGCGGCGCAGGCCGAGACCTGTTGTGCATCCGTCCGCCCGGCGCGCCTTTCCACCACACTCGCGCGCCCCGGGTGTGCGGGGCGTTTACTTTGCCGGATGCAATAAAAAGCTCTTCTAATATTCATCGGTGTCTGGTAGCTCACCTTGAGGTCTCTGTGGACGATATCGTGCTGGTGGATGTGACTGATGCTCTCCAGGATCTGATTGATGCAGTGGCTGAAAGAGACAGCAAGGCAAGACATGTCGGTCAAACCGCGGCGCCACGACCACCGATATTAAAGAAAAAGAAGAAGAAAAACAAAATAAAACACACACACACCAAGTGACTTTAAAATATACAGACTAGATTTTAAGGACATATAGAAAAACTTCAAAACAAATAAAATTATCTGTCTTTTTGGGCTTTCATAATAACACGGGGGCTGATTTGAAAAATAACAAATGAGCCTCTCCTTGGGAAGACGACCTGGAATATGGGCAGCAAATTGGTTACAAATATCCACACTCAGCAAATTGAGAGCATCAATTCAGCTCTGGCTTCTGTCTTAATAGCCCGTGATGAGTCGAGTGATGTAAACCATATTGAGCAGATAGTGCTCTCATGCAGATACGCGAGCTCTAATGGGCTGCAGGAAGGAATCATCGAGCACTAAAAGGCCGAGCAGAGGACATTTGTTTCAGCTGGAGTTAAATGTTTTGAAAGCCAACGAAATAAAGAGCAACAATTTGTGTTACATTAATTGAAGTTGCCGTGTAACTTAAACGAGAGCATAAAACATGATATGGACTTGATTTCAGAAGCTATTTTAGCTAAACGGCTGATGCTTCGTGTTTCCAGCGCAAAACCAAACATTTGTCTTAATCTACAGAGAATAACTTCAGCTTCGCTCCCTTCCAGTTTAAATATCGTCACGTTAAATTTAACCAGCTCAGATATCACAATACGGTTTATGTGAGAGGAGCGAGTCATTAACCTTCGCATTTGAAGTCAATATAGTTGCATGATCTGAATGGTTCCTGCCTCAGACGTGACGGCCTGCAGTCCTGTGTGAATTTCAAAGTAAAATCTTAAGCTGAGGAGGAAAGAATCGTTAGGAATGAAAAAAAAAAAGAAGAAATAAACGTCTTGTAATAAGCTGTAATAAAGAGTAAAACTGCTTATGGTCAAGCACCACCGTTTATTTGGTTGTACTGCTGGACGGCACCGTGTTAAACCCAACCTACCAAAGAAAAAAAAAAAAAAAAAAAACACAAAATCTCACACTTAAAGGGAATATTTCCATTCAGAAACGGACACATTTTTTAAAATATTTTTATGATTAGTATTTGGTTAAGATGCTCGGCGGAGGGAGTCACTTTGATAACCTTCCAAAACTGCTTAAAAACATCTATTCAGAGTTTAATACGATATACACAACAAACTTAAGGTAAGGTAATTTTATTTATATAAGGAATTTTCAGCATCGACGCTGAGTTCAAAGTGCTTTACGTGAATTAGAAAGAAATACAAACAAAACAAAAACCAAAGGAAAAAAAAAAGTATAAAACTACATATCTGCTCCCCATGCTTCGAGTAGTCTGTAATTTATAAACTAGTAGGGCTTAAAACAATGCAGCACCAGGTGAATTTTTCAATTCATGTCCACTCCAACCCTCACCAATATCCACGAGTTATGATCATGACCGAAACATGAAAGCAAATCTCAAACTTTCTGATGATCAGCTTGATTATCTCGTCCCACATTATGACCACAGACTTCTCTACATATATGTTGCCTTCGTTGGACGTTGCATATTACTGATTGTCTACACATGTTTTTATACTGAAATTATTATTATTTTAAGTTGATGTCATTTCTAAAACCTAGTTAAGAATTTAGAGGCAAAGTGCTAAATTACCACAACAGCCTACTGCAGCATCTGACAACAACCTAAAAATAGGAGAACAGCTTTGTCATGATTTATTCATGAAATTAAATTTAAAAAGTCTGAGTCACTCGGTCAGAAGTAAAACTCAACCAGCAGATTAGTAGCACAGTTGAAACCGTAAGCACAAACTACATTAACCAATTCTGTCGTCAGAACATTTCGTGCTTTCATAACTTCTCTGCGTTGACAAAAAAAAGCCTCCACTAAAACCAGCGGGGAGTTCAAAGTTTCAAGCTTGAGATTCATATTTAGACTCGTAGCTAAACAGTGTCATAAAAAAAAAAACATTGACAAGTAAAAAGGTGACAAATGAGCCACTAACAGTTTTTTTTTTTTTTTTTAAATATGCATCACTTCTGCATTACACCGACGTACATTTTCAGTCAGCAGGATGCCTCTTCTGGCATCACATGAATGTCTTACAAACAATAAAATAAATTTAAAAGATGATTGTGGAGTATCTGATGTGGCCTCAATTTGGAGAAAACCGTCATGATTTACCTGGCATCCGCCTCGCTGTAGTACTCCCTCGCAACGATGTCCTCAAACAGCTCTCCTCCGGTGACGCTGCAGAGACGGATGCAACAATAAGTTAGTCGGCATGTTTATTATTAGGGAACTTCTTGTTTTCTCTCTTTAAATAAAAGTACCTTTTAAGGGGCTCACGCAAGATGTTTTCTGTTCGCTTGTGGTGACACGTCTGAGGTTCAAGTGAAGCTCGGTTTGTGCTTCAAGAAGCCACCTAGCATGTTACCGACAGCTTTTATCTGTTCTAAAACATAATCTAATGCTTAATTCATTTGTTCTGGTCTGTTCGACGGAGCAGCGGGTGCGACATCAACGCAACTGAATAGATGGATTTATTCTTTATGCTAAATTTTACAAGTAAACGCAACAGAAAGACAGATTTTTGCAGTTTTTCTGTGCGTTTTCATTAGATATCTCTGCAGAACAATGACAGAAATGCTACAAAGAAATAACAATAACAATAATAGTAAAAAATATATATATTTTTGT